CTGGATCATGCAGCACGAGTTTGCCATAGATCACCGACTTCATCACCTCGATGACTTTCTCGATATCTCCACTGGTTTGGCTGCAGCCAACCAGCAACTCACCATCCCCCTCCGGGCATTCACGTATCTCGGCACTCCTCTTTGCTCCATTCCAGCTCGAAGGGCCGTCACCATCATTGACTTTCCTTGGTATTGTCCTAGACTGCGAGCGCCACGAAGCTCGGCTACCAGAGAACAAGCTGTCCGAGATCCGTGCGCCACTCATGGCTACTATCAGCGAGCGCAGCATCGGCCAGCGTCAACTCGAGTCCCTCCTGGGGAAGCTCACTTTTGCTGCCCGAGTCATCGTTCCTGGACACACATTCATGCGTGAACTATGATCAGCGTGCCCTGAACTGTATCTGTGTATGCGAGTGCGGTGCATAAAGCACACCTTGAGAATGGGTTTGCCGGCCCCTTAGTAGATGCGTGGCTTCTGAAGAGGGTCTTGAAGGGCATCCAGCGATGCCATGGTACAGCTGTACTCACCCCTCGCCTTCCTATAACTACGCCAATCCTACGACTGCCTGACGGATGCACGCCGGAAAAGTAGTATCCTGAATGGCCATGACACGCTGCTCTACCAAGCCGCAATGCTGCTTCTTTGGATTTCTTCGATGTGCTGAATTCACTAATGGCATCACACGGGGCTGTACTAGCTCCCCTGGTGACGGACGCCTGCAACTCTTCCTGCTTTCATCCAAGACGGACCCATTCGGTTAAGGCGTTACTAGTGACATTGGCCCGTCTGTACCGCCGTACTGCCCGGTCCATGCCATTGTTAGCTACCCATTTGTCACTCGTCGCGAGGGACCGGAGCAACTCTTGTTCGTACTCTCGAACAGACAGCAGCTGGCCAGGCAGTCATTCACAGTAATAGTATGGTCCCTTGTCGCTGCGGCCGGTGTACCATCCCAGTCGAACTACTCCGGGCATTCGGTCCACATTGGTGCAGCCACCACCGCTGCTATGGTTAGTGCCCCCGACTCCTTCTTCCGAGCAGCAGGTCAGTGGAAAGAGCGATGCGTGTCTATGCTACATCCGGACTACAACAAGCGCTAAGCGCCAGCTATCGTCCCGGCTTGCTGCCGTGCCATGGATGCCATGATCCCCAACTCGGGTGAGTAATGGGCTACTGAACTCTAGCTGTGCAATGCTTGCCTGTGCTGACATTAATTGACCCTTGCTGTGCGTCAATAGTGCTTAGCTAACGGAGTGCTGGTTTCATGGGTCCACTCTCACAACTGGTGTTATCTAGCTATTCGCTGCGGCTCTGCCTTGCGCTATATTACATCCATTTAGCATTGCAGCTCTACGTTGAGCTAACAGCAGCTCTACTTTGAGCTAACAGCAGCTCTACTTTGAGCTAACAGCAGCTCTACTTTGAGCTAACAGCAGCTCTACTTTGAGCTAACCGCAGCTCTACTTTGAGCTAACAGCAGCTCTACTTTGAGCTAACAGCAGCTCTACTTTGAGCTAACCGCAGCTCTACTTTGAGCTAACAGCAGCTCTACTTTGAGCTAACAGCAGCTCTACCTTGAGCTAACAGCAGCTCTACTTTGAGCTAACCGCAGCTCTACTTTGAGCTAGCAGCAGCTCTACTTTGAGCTAACCGCAGCTCTACTTTGAGCTAACAGCAGCTCTACTTTGAGCTAACAGCAGCTCTACCTTGAGCTTCAAACCAGTTGTTTCGAAACCAGCACTCCTCAATCCAAAGATGCCTCTTTGTTGACTTGTTTGTGTGAGGGATGGGGCTAATGGTGTACTAGCTGTGCTAGTACTTGTTAGCAACAATCCGAACTAGCGCGCACACTGCACTGCATTGCTTTTTACTGCATTCAAGACTGACGTCATGCGCTTTGTTTTGCTGCGTAATCACAAATGGCACCAGCCCATTTTGCGGAAAAGAAAAACAAATCTTGCTTGCCCTGTTGTGCTCTTCCAGACAACGGATCGTGCTTCAGCAGTGTTTCTTTTCCCACCATCCCTCCCTATCCAACTTATTCACACCATCATAATTATCGTACCCACTAATCGGGTCCACTCTCACAACTGGTGTTATCTAGCTATTCGCTGCGGCTCTGCCTTGCGCTATATTACATCCATTTAGCATTGCAGCTCTACGTTGAGCTAACAGCAGCTCTACTTTGAGCTAACAGCAGCTCTACTTTGAGCTAACAGCAGCTCTACTTTGAGCTGACAGCAGCTCTACTTTGAGCTAACCGCAGCTCTACTTTGAGCTAACAGCAGCTCTACTTTGAGCTAACAGCAGCTCTACTTTGAGCTAACCGCAGCTCTACTTTGAGCTAACAGCAGCTCTACTTTGAGCTAACAGCAGCTCTACCTTGAGCTAACAGCAGCTCTACTTTGAGCTAACCGCAGCTCTACTTTGAGCTAGCAGCAGCTCTACTTTGAGCTAACCGCAGCTCTACTTTGAGCTAACAGCAGCTCTACTTTGAGCTAACAGCAGCTCTACCTTGAGCTAACAGCAGCTCTGCTCTGAGCTAACACCAGCTCTACTTTGAGCTTCAAACCAGTTGTTTCGAAACCAGCACTCCTCAATCCAAAGATGCCTCTTTGTTGACTTGTTTGTGTGAGGGATGGGGCTAACTTATAAAATCAGCAGTGCAGAAAGATACAGCAAGGAAACCACAACATTCAGAGCAACAATATTATACAGAGGGCGGGTGGGTGGGGCCCTTGACAAGCAAGACAAAAAGAAGGGCAATCTTTCACAGCGCTCGCTCAACAACGATTACGTCACTACAGTGACGTCAACCTGCACCGCGTGCCACAACAAAAAATTATACCGGTAAGCAAAAAACAAGCTTTGCAAATATTTTAAGTTCGAGAGAACAGTGCTTCTCGTTTCTTTCGAATACTCAGCCAACGAGAAGCGTACACGGCATGCCGACGTCGTCAGGCACAAACAAACAAAAAACAAACAAACTACGGAATTAAAGCTGTGTGGACCCTGGCTAGCGCCAGACGTTACTGAAGTTACGTCTTTTGCATAGCTACGGGAATAATATACAGTCAGATAGTGCGTCAACAAATCACAAAGCTGACAGGGATATTGAGACCTTCGACGACCTCACAACTAGTTTCAGAACATCTACGAAGCGCAAACCAACAACCTGCCAACTTGGAAGGCTCAGGTGCGGAATGTTCCGATGAGGGGGAGGGATGCGACACGAAGATGTGCACGAGCTATGTCCCTCGGCAACAAAGAATGTCGAACGTTACGGGATGATGATGACGAGACTAGTTAGACCATTGGACAAACCGGTCTAACTACAACTCGAAACGCAAGGCAACAGACCACCCAACTTGGGAGGCTCAAAGTAATAACTAGTACAAGTAAGGAATAGGTCATTTTCTCTTTCCGTAAAAGTTGTTTGCTATCTATTTTCCTCTTGGTCATGTTGGTGCATATGTAGATGTAAAGATGCTCTATTCTGCAACGCTGGTGTTGTCTATCCTGTTTTGTCAAATGTCCATGTGGATATTATATAAGTTTACCTCCCCATATGGAAGTAATTTGAATAGTCTTCCTGCTCGTGACAGGCTTCGCGGCAGTTTGTTCTTACTTCCATTGTGTGCGTTGGACCAGCGGTCACTTTGGGTCCGAAAATTAATGTTTTTTTTGGGCCAATTTTGAGGTTCCAATGAGCCGCTGAGGTGTGCAATAAATCCTTTTTCATGGTTGTTACAGACGTAAAAAGGAAACCTACCGGGGAGCATTTAGCTAAAGTTGGGGAGATCAGAGTCGACTAGCCCACCTTTTCTGGTTTTCCCAGACATTGTCTAAGTACGCACACATACCGTACGCACGCAATTAGAGCCCTCTCTTGAATGGTGCCCTATCTCGAATAGTGCCCCAGTCTCTAACAGTCAGTGAAATAATAAAGCTCTCTCTCTCTTGAATAGCGCCCCCCCCCCCCCCCCCCGGCTTGTAACTTGGGCCAAGCGCATGTGCAAGTTTGGTGTTCTTTAGGTAATGTTCTTGTCCATGTCATTGAGCTGGTGGTTTCAGGGTCAAAATCGCAGTTCTTGTTGCCCTTTCTGTTGAGTCGGGGTAGTTTACAGTAAATTTTAGGCTCCGTTTATCTTTGGCTTCTTTGTTTTTATGCGGGATGATGTAAATGTACCAGCATTGAGAAAATAGTGCCCTCTCTTGAATACTGCTCTCTCTTGAATAGTGCCCCAATTTGTGATGGACAATGGAAAATAGTGTCCCAGGGGCACTAATCGCGCAAGTACGATACGTGTAAGAGGACAGTATACTAGGCTAAATACTGTGCTTTGATAGCTTCCAGGTGCTTGCTACAAAATGCAATTCCACTTAGCGAGACAGCTACTAGTATTTGCCAACGTGTATTTGCCAAATCTGTATTTGCTGGATGAGATGGCAGTTGTGGAATACGGGTAGCAAAGAGAATCAATAGAGAGGCGTTTGAGCTCGTTCCTATCACTCTGCAAAACACTGAACACTGGTTTCATATCAATTTTAAGAACAATTCGGATTTACTATCATCGGGTTAATGTGCAAGGCAGGGAAAGGGAAAGCTATATGCACATCCCGCTGTACAGAGCAGGACGCATGTGCCAGTGTGTTGTGCATGTCAATGTGCTGTGGTTCCTACTTGAATTTGGTGTCACACAAAGTGATATATATAATGTATAGCTGATGATCACTTAGTGAGTGAAACTCGAAGTTAAAACACTTTCTCTGTCCTCTTATTGTTTGAACCAGGCCTCTCGGTATTCAGCACTCTCTTCGACAGCCTGGAACCTCTCTGTTATACTGTATAGCACCGTGTGCACCAGCTCAAATGCCTTCCTTTTAAAAGAGAATGCAAGCAGTCTCCCCTTACTTCTGCATGAGAATGGAGTTGACGGCTTTATAATAATTTGATCCATGCACACGTATGCAATTCCTGTGCTATCCTCGGACTCACCGTAACCATGGCTGTAGCTTCATTCACCATCAGCAGTCGGCAGCATTCAAGCGTACACCGTGGTGCTCTGGCCGCAGTGGATTGATTGGTAGCGTCAAACATTCAGACCAGGTGTCGATTGACTGATTGTCCGAATTGCAGCATGATTGTTGACGACGAACACGACGCCCATGTTTGATGATTTTCATCATAATTGACTGCAAATGACAACACTTGACTGAGCCAGGTAGCCGGCCAAGGATGTCCTTCCGATTTTCGACATTGATAAGTTCGAGGGTTGAGAGATACTTACATAGGTCATGAAACTCAGCATCTACGGGTATGTTACTAGAACACTGCTGAAGAGTTGCGACAGCTGAATCAGCTTCTTCAATAAGGTCCTGGATTGGTTCCCTCTTCAAATACTCATCTTGGTAGGCGGAGAGTGCTGCATCAACTTCATTCTCTGTATCTTTATCAAGGGTCCGTTGCAATTTGGCATCTATGCCCATGATCGGTATGCCACTTGTCAGTCGCTCCTCCAGGACTTGGTACAGGTGAAAAATGTAGCACAATTTCACAGGCACGGCTTGACAAAAGTTATCAAAACTCTCTGGCACTGTGAATGCAGTCATGTGCTTCTTTGTGAAATCCTCCAAGTTGCAGTTCAAGTCAGCCCTGGCTCCAGCATTTTCGACAACATTGGAAATATTGACGAGGTGCTCTATCAGCTCAAGTGACTCCTTGTAGTGGCGTTGTTGGTCAAGTGCTTGGAAGACTCTTTCCAAAAGATCTGCATTAAACCGTTCTTTAAAGCCAGCATGATCCAGAACAAAAGCTGATAGAGGCATAACCTGAAGAATACGTTGCACTATAGGTGCATCTGTCAGGCTGAAGACGAATGGCTTGAATGGTTGCTCCAGGTCTAACAACTTTGCTTTTGTCACAAACTGTTGAATAAAGCAACTTTGAATTGCCTCTAGATCAAAGTCAATTTCGCCATCATCAGACGAAGACGTGTGCATTCTAGCAATATGCAACATTTCTTCTTCGTCAAAAATCATCAATCCATCACCTCTGGTGGTCAACGAAATGGGCTGACTAAACTCTCCCGTCATTAGATCATGGTGGTAGGTATCTGCGGTTGTGCTTTTAATTTTCCAATTCTGACATTTCTGTACAAATTCTTCTTGCTTCTTGAGGATGGAAATAAGTACATCTCCCAAGGCCCCATGGCTATCACCTCCATCATCAATGACATAGCGCAGTGCAGTGTGGCCACCGTGCTCCTCGCCTTCATTGCGGTCATCAAGGAAGTTGTTTTCTTCGGACATGCCTCGGGGCACAATGGGCACAATTTCGTTTTCTCTCTGGCAAACACCAATGTCTACTCGCCCATCATTTTCATCACAGAACCTGTTGAAAGCACGTACTCCCTCGACATAGGCACCTTTCAGCATGACGGAGTCTTCGTAAGACAGGTTGGCACAGTTGCGAAAGCAGAGACTGTGCAGAGTGATGTACTTCTGTTCAACTTCAGTTCGGGTAAGCTTATTGGACAAACACTGATGAATCGCTGCATAAAGTTGAAACATGTCCTTCACAAGGTGTAGGAACTTCCAGGCCTTTGTATTACTCAAAATGGCTTTCAAAACTGGAAACTTCTTGTCTGCTGCATCATCTTTGGAAGCTGCAGAAAGCAAATTCCTCAATGTTATATCACCGTGGTTGCGATGCCATGAGCGAAGTTCAGATACAATGGAATCACTGGCACTAGCAGCTCTGCGTGTATCATCAAGAATACGCAACACCTTCTCGAAAGCCTCATCATGGGCAAGTTTCTCGGCAGCAGCACGATAACGTCTGTGTTTGTAAGTTGAACGATAGGGAAGTGGAGAGGCTGATAAGTATTGACCCAGGATGCGCTCGAGTGACATCAGCACTGCAATGCAATACTGCCGATGTGAGAATTCATACTGAACATTCATCTTCATGCTTTTCAGTGGAGATATCACTCTGCAAGCACAAAACTCCAACGCTCTTTCCATAAATGTGACATAACGTTGTTGTTCTGGATTTATGATGTATGAACTCAGAAGCAAATCGTACATGCCTTCAGCTTTCTCTGGATAGAGGAGTCCCAGAAGCAAAAAGGACGAGAATGTAATGATCGTGTTGATATAATTGCTCGCAATGCTGAAGCAGCATCCACCTGGAGTGACCTCTGGCTTGCCTTCATTGTCAAAAACAAGACAACAGTCCACGTTGTATGGACACAGCTTTTCCTTCTGGCCTCGATGAGTACCAAACAGATAAGTTCCTTCCAGTGTGGCTGGATCAAAGAGGTAGTTGGCATAGTGAAATGTTTCATTGCCGATGCCAAGAAAAATCGCAAGAGTATTCATCATCAGGTGACGCAATTCATCGCCAGCAGTAGAAGTCTCAGAATACCTGCTTTCTGGAAACATGTGTTTGATGGAGTCTGTTGCCACATGAGGACCTTCTTGAAGAAACTTGAGACTGCGAGTCAGACGATCACTGCCTGTCAGTGTTTCACGCACTTCACGCAGTGCATCCATGTGACCAGCTTCATAGCAGGATTTGTACACTTTCAGGAATACAAACATATCAGCACAGTTCTTGGGAAGCAGGCCAGCTACCAGTGGTGGTGCACCTTCAGATGTCTGACTACGGTACCACTGGGCAATTTCTTGCAACCCGTCTTTGGCAGTAATACTCCTGTCAAAGAGGCCACTGAAGTTTTGGTATGACCGGTGTAGTTCAGCTAGATATTCATTTCCGGGTGGCAGTACTGGGCAGGTGAATTTAAGTTCCACTTCCACAGCTTCTTCACCAAGTTCCTTGATGCAATATGTGCGGAGGGCTATATTGACTTTGCTCACCACAGCCATTGTCTGCACATTGCCGCACATCTTGGACACGAGAAACTTCTGCCAGAATGTATTTCCGCCATCACAATATTGGGATGATAGGTCATCAATGACACGCGCTATGTCTTCTGGGTTTGCACTTTCCTCAATACTCTCGGCCACACGCTCGAATGCTATCCGTAACCTTATGGCGAGGTTGATTACAAGCAGAATAACAAGAGGTGACTGTCGTTGGCGTTCATTCAGCTGTGACGCACGATTGACATACTCTTGAATAGGTAACCTCATTGACTTGTCTGACCTGTATACAAAGTTGTAGTAGGCATGGACCATGGGTTGATCGAAGAATTCACAGATTGCCTCCGGAAGCAGGTCGAGATCACATCGTGCTGACTTTGGAAAGTCCCGTGGCAGATAGAGTGTATCAAGTGGGTTGTCAGCTGATTTGCAATATGCCCTGACCTGTTTGCAGCCATGATGTTTCACAAGCAGGCGGTGGACACACTCTCCAAGAGATGTCTTGAAACCATTGCCTTGCTCCATGTGAGACATTGCAAGGCCAAATAGATTCACGGATTCCAACAGTGAAAGCTTAGGCAGTGACGATGGATGCTGAGGACCAGTGTTGTTGATTACTTGAAACAGGAATCTGAGTTTCTCGTCATTCTTGGAAATTGATGGATGCAGTGAATTCAACATCAGTATCAACAGTTGAAGAAATGTAGATTGGATGGCCTGGAGTGAGCATTTGCTTGAAGTTTGCAGTGCCAGAATGAACTCTTTGGTGCTCTTAAGGATATCAAATTGATCACCATGAAACAGCCGCAGAGCAGTTTCAAGAACACCTCTGATGACATTTGGATTGCAAGAGATCTGTCTGTTGTGCAAAATCACATACACTTCATCCATCAAGTTGAGTTTGCAGGAGTTCTGCTTGCAAATATCATGTATGATGTACTGAGACCTATCTTCCTGGTGCGCCTTTCCCTGTTGTTCTCGCCTTGGACTCCAAAAGAGTTGTACATAACGGAAGCTCTGACGCCATTTTTGAATCTCACTCATTGAAACTGACGGATCCTGAATTGTTTCAATTCGAAGCAATGAGTCCCACAAGTGCTCGAACAATCTTAGTGCAAACGTCTCAAGGTACTCCTTGCCTGAGAGTTTCGCCTCTTCATGAGTGGAAAGCGTAGTGACACTGGAGTTTCCACACCATGGTGCCAGTTGCATCATTGCACGTTTGCCATAAAGAAGCAACATGATTTCAAGCCTTGAGTCAGCGCACTCCAAATACATATGTGCAAAAGGCACAATGCCACACTCAGACTGGCAAGGCACTTGAGATAGAACAGATTGTCTTTTCAACCGTAAGTACTTGACTGCTTCAAGCACCTCCTGGGGATCATAATCTCCGGACCAGTTGCATTTCTCTCCCACCAGCTGTTGCAAGTACAAGTCGATGAAGTTTTCAAAGTCCAGGAGCCCTTTGGTGACCGGGTCAGATGATAGCTTCTTGTGGAGTTCGAAATAAGCTGTGGGATCTACAATCTTGAGCTTCTGAATCTGTTGTTCAATGCGCCTTTTAACGAGGCCATAAAATGGCAGTCTAGCTGGTGCATACACACTCATGTTGAGGTTCTTCTTGGTCCTATATTGTTCCTCATCCTGCTCACTCATCTTTGGAATGAGATGAAGCAGTTTGGCCATCAGTTCACCAGAGAAGCCAAGGTTGACAATTCGGACAATTGTTCCGTTCTTACACAAGTACTGCAGGAGATGCCTCATGATAGCATCCAGCTTTGGGTTCATGTGCAGCTCCACCAAGTGAGAAAAGGAGACGAAGGTGTCCCAATCAGCTACACGGGTAGCAAGGTCTTCCATCAATGTTAGTGTTCTATCCTGGCCAAAGTACTCAGCAAGAAGCAGCCCAGCGTGCTGCAGTACCTCTGGATACGTATCAAGTATACAGGAAACAGCGACATGTAGCTGCTTGGGCAAGGCGTCGGGACTATACAAAGGAGAAAAATCTGATGGTATATCATTCCGATTCTGATGTGCCATGTTGGACGCTGAATTCTGAACTATTCCTGAACCGGGGCCATTTGATATCTGGTGACAGAACCGCTCCACCAATGTTTCTTTCTGTCTAAAAACTCCATCTTGCAACATCCTTTGCATTCCAACATCTTCGACATGAACCTTGTTGCCACCAGCGCCTTGTCCATCGTAGACTTTTGAGAGAGCTCTGAGGTTTACCAAAAGCATGTCGCCAGCATCTGGGAGATCAAAATACATTGTTTCCCAGTCATTGAGGAAGAATGTTGGTATGCGGCACACCCTAGACTCCAAAAAGAGCTGACTGTAGAGTACCATGAAGAAACACTTGCGTCTGCCTTTGCGGCGAATTTCCATATCCCACCAATCCATCAACCATTTCAGGTAACTTACAAGTCGAAATCCGCCTGATGCTTGCGAAACATCAACCAAAATTAACGCACAGGTCATCTGATCACTAGCAGCAAATTCACCAAAGAATTTGTTTGCATCAACTTCCTTCCTGAAGGCATTAGAATCTGCCACAGCAATGGATCCTGTCGCTTCCTTGAAAGCATTGTTCCCTTCAGTAAGCTGGGTGATAGCTGAAGAATACTTCAAGAACGCCGCAAATTTATTGCAGCGTATCAACAACTGGTGTCCGTCTGTGGTAGCTGGTACACCTCGGGCAACTTCAGTAACTGTTCCACGGAACTCAAAGTGCCTCAAAGTGTCAAAGTAGATGTTATAGTACAGGCCATGTTCTCTGATTCTTTTGAACAGCAAGATAAAGTGCTCAGGTGGCATTAGCTGGAGAAGACGAGAGCAAATTGCTCGAACTGATCGCTGCACCAGGGGGTGGCCAGGGACAATACTATCCAATTGCTGCATAAGAATAGTGCAGAATTTCAGTTTACAGTGACGTCGACTATTCGAACACGAGGAATCGAAGCAGCTCAGCAACATGGAAGACAAGCCGTTGATCTTATCCAAGCCAAGAAAATTGTGTCTCGCCATGATGGTAACAAATTCCTTGCATTTGGCTTCAACGTGAGACCAAAGGCACTTGTCCTCGGGGGATAACCACGTCGATAACTCACAAAGAGCCTCTTCTGGAGATATACGAAACTTTGCAAATCGGCTCAGAAGTGGTGTTGCAGTATGTGCGAGGTCAGATTCCTTCAACACAGCAATACACTGGAACTGGGGATTGACTGGGCAAGCATAGGCATTTTGACCAAGTACCAAGTTCACATAATGTTTGTCCTGTATTGGCTTGAAGCTGAGATTCAGTAGCTCATACAGGCTGCCATACACCCGGTCTGCACCCACAAGAACGACTGTTTTGGCCCGGTCCAGTGAACGTCGGATTCGAGCAACAACCTCTGCAGCATAGAGCTCATCTTGATCACCTTGGAATGTGCTCATATGAATAACTTCACAGTCCTCGGGTGAGAGAATGTTTAGTTGAAACATTACATCCACAGAAGAGAAGTTGTCAGTGGGATCGATTATCATTCTGAACCGAGAGGCAAGGTCATGACCAGTTGAGTACACAGAAGTGGAATCCTTGACAGTTGCCAAATGATCTTGAATGGACAGAAGGGTTTGGATAGGTCCTCTTGGCTTTGGAGCATTAAGACCTTGGAGTGATTCTGGGAAACCAACATCAGCCATGAACCTTAAAAAGGTGTTGACAATTTCTTCAAATATTTTTGCTTCACAGCCTCCAAAGTTCTCTTCCAGTACCTGAATAAAGTGAGTGACGTCAATTTTGATTGGCAGATCAGATCTTGATTGATAACGCAGCAAGCTTCGAAGCATGAATATGAAGTCTCTGTGGTGAAACAATGTTGACATTTTTACACCTTCAATAGTTTTGGAAGTTAACTCCTGATACCCTTCACATATTGCCAGAAGGTACTGTCGCTCAGCAAGTGTTGTGCTATGCTGCTTGCTTCTGCCTGACTCATTCAGCATCTCGCTTCTTGTGGCTTCTCTTCCAAGTCGCTGGTCGTCTCCTTTCATTAGACAACCAAGAGCAAGGGTAAACAGGTCACATAACGTAGCTGGAGAACGGTAGACCGTGGCCATCCGATTGGCATTTGCAGGATCAAATCGGCGATTCGACAACGCAACAAATGATACTTTCATCTCGTCCAAGTACCGGTGCAACACTTTCAAAGCCATGTCACCATCACTCGGCAGTCCTGCTTCATCAAGGATTACAACGCATCGGGTTGTCTGGTTGAACATCTTAACTCCAGTAGCAATGTTGAGCTCAATAACACTTTTCTGAAGGTCATGGGCACCAACAGCATCATGTCGTTTCTGGCGAGCAATTGCGTTTTCAAAACACTGGCTGATTTCTTCTGCCTTTGACTGAGCTGAGCCTTGGTAGAGAAATGGGTCAATAGCACTGAATTGACGGCAGAACAGCTTTGGGGAATAGACTCCACGGAGGTTTTCCTTGACAATCATCCAGCTGAGGGTCTTTGATGTGCCTGGCTGGCCAATGATTCCAAGAGGAATTCCAGTCTGCACACATGCAACAGTGCACAAGATATTCTCCTTCAGTGCATCAGTTAGAGCTACTTTTTCGTCCATTCTGAAATATTCGCGGGTGATAATGGCATCCATGAAACTGTTGATGATCCACTGAAATGATGTTAAGGTGTCAGTGCTGCTGCTGATAGGTCCACATTTAGGACATCCTTCGTAGTCACCTTGGTGAAACATGGCGGGGTCAGAGAGATGGATGTAGTGAGCAAAGTCCTCGCGGCTGGCTCTTGCAGATTTATTAGCTAGCACAAGCCTGAAGTAGTACACAACAGCGATGGACAGAAATACACACTTCCTGAGATCCTCGTTGGTGCCGGACTCCACAAACCTGCCAGCGCGCTCTGCACTCTGGATAGCGTTGCTATTTACAATCCAAAAGAATGGGATGAGAATAAACACCCGCTGTACATCTCTCTGACTGACAGAATTGATACCGACAAACTGTCGACAGTACGTGTGTGCTCTCGTCATGATCAGTGTAAACTCGCGCAGCACTGTTGTTGGGATATTGGCTCGGGATGACGTGATCAGAGTCCGTTGAAGTTTTATTCTTCCATGAATGAACTCCTCAAGCTGTGCACCATCAGAAAGTCCTTTGTAGATCCACTTCATTTCGTCCAGGACTTTTGGCAATGGTTTAACATTGTACTCCACCCTGTGTACTTCATCATCCAGACCTGTAGATTGAATGGGATACTGTGTTGGTGGTGGATTGATAGCACACGTGAAGAAAATATTGTCTTCCAGGCGTTCACCATCCAACATGTGATCTACAATGACTTCCTTCAACATACCTAGATGCTCAGACGTGTTGACCTCATCAAATAATACAACAACCGTACATTGAGAGCAGCGCTTTGCAAGAGCGCATGCTTGGCCAATGAATTGTAGGATGTCTTGCCGACTGGTTCCAGGGTCCAGAAGCTTGTTCAAGAACAAAGATTCATAGTCAGCATCGAGTACCTTCCGTAGCATGTGTTTGAATTGGCTGGCTGTTGGAGCAGTAATTGTCATCAAGGTGTTGAACTCCTCGTCCATTGGCTCCAGGGGCGTCTTTTCCTGACAAGACTGAAGGTAGTGTTTGAAATCCTTAATGAATTGGCTGCCAACTGTGTTCCAGCACGACTGCGAGGAGATGTCAATTACTAGGCGTTCCAAAACCATCTCAAGGTCATCCTCGGTAGCATCGTCATTGGCAAGCAACGTAGCTTTTGGCACGACATCCCGCTGATCTAAATGGCCAACATTAGGAAATGAGCTTCGAAACCAAAGCTTAAAATCAGCAGTGAGGTGCTCATCAAGCCGGGTGATCCATTCCTGTATCCAACGGCTTGCTCTCTTCTTAGAAGATGAGTTTGCGTATTCTGGACTGTAGAGACTTCTGCACATTGAGAGTTTTGTGTACATTTGGAGGAGAAATGTTTTACCAACACCAGTTTCACCAACCATTATCAAAGGCAATTTTGCTCGTTGTCTCTCATCAACTAGAAGAAGTTTGTAGGTATAATCCCAAGTAAGAACAAAGTTCTCTTGTTCCAGCCGGCGTTGTATCACACGAATGCCCTCCTTAGTAGGCGGCAATCCGAAATTCCACTCCAGGCATTCTAGACATGATAGTTCAGATCTTTCGACATCAACAGCTTTTTTCAGATCATCTCCTGATGAATAGCCGAGATGTTTTGCCCAAGCATCAGGAGATTCGCATAAAGCTCGCCAGGATAGTAGCGTGGGCTCCACTGGGACTGCATTCGACCCCTTCCTAAAGAGCTTCAACAACCAGCTGCGATTGGGTTCATTTCGATGACCATCAAAAAACTTCAGCACCAAGCCTTCCAACGGGTGCGGTAGATGCCGAGCATTTGGTGGTTTTGCAGCAAAGAAGCTAATGCATGTTGGATCCCTGAACAGGAGAGGTATTGAACATTGCTGCCATGAGCAAACAAACTCTCGTGTGCAAAGGTAGTTTGCCTCTGTGATAAACTGCTCAAACAGCAGTAAAAAGCAGTTGGCCATGCTGGATGCTTGCGCCGCCTTGAACACTTCATTGTCAAACAACTGAATCCTATCCCGAAGATATCTCATGAATGCCACTTCTTGGATTCGTGACCACTTGTCTTGATCATGGTTGGTTTTGCTGAGCAATAAGGCCAGTAAGTTTTGAAACTTGTCCTTGTATTGCAGCTCAAGAGAACAATCTTGACTTGGGTCGATCTTTGACATGACGCTGTCCACTTCCTTTTGGCAATGGTGGGTATAGTGGAGAACTACAGATGCTATCCTTTCCAAATCTGAAGAGCTTATCACAGCAGAAGCAGGCGATTGCCCATTGATCTGAAATTGATGAATTTTTGAATCAACAAAACATTCATCACTTGCGATGCAAACGATGGGGAACTCTTCGTGAGCATTTTTCTGAAGGACTTCTTCACTTGTAAATGTATCCTCGCTTGGAAGCTCAATGTAGAACTCCCATTGCAAATCTGCAGGTAACAGGAATGATCTGCTTTGCAGTGTAACTCTCAAACTCTGACAGAGCAATAGCTCAAAGAAGATTTGGTTGACGTCATGTTTGTTGGCTTGGTGTGAGATGCTGAAGTGGACCTTGGAGTGAGTAGTAAGTGAAGAAAGCTTCGCTGTCAACTCTCCAGACTCGGACTCACTTGCTATACATATCACATGGTCCTCACCGATTTTCTCCTTAATGAAGTGTGATTTTCCACATCCAGATGCTCCGAGGACTGCCTTGCACACCGGAAACATTCTGCCTCCTTCCACTCTCAACCGGTTCAAGGCACGTTTCAAGGTGTTCACATCAAATGTTAAGTTAATGTTGGGATAAATCGATACATGCTCGTTTGGCCAGCACTTGCAAGAGCGTTCTTGTACGCAGATGTAATGGACGGTTGAAGAGTTGGAGTAGTCCGAGTGCATAGCGCGGAGCTTTTTCTGTAGCTGCAGTAACTTCAGCCGGCAATCATAGCTGAGAAGATCAACACCCACCAGGATGTAATTCAGGTTGAAGGCATATATTCGGTCAAAGAAGATGATTACTTCCTCCACAGCTGTATGCCTATAGCACATTAGGAGCTGAGAGCTGCTAGGAACACTCTTGTAGACAGTCAAGGAAATGGCAGCTGCCACACAGATTGCTTGTGTCAAATTGCAACCATCCGGAGCGCAGCAGACAATTTGCTTGCCATGAGTGTGGCCAGGACAGTTCACTGGACGTGTTAACGCCTTTTGGAGAGTATGCGTCAGTAGTTCAACCGCATCAGTGAAATTTGCAATGCTGCACTTGGAAGTTGATATCTGGTCCTCGATATTTGCAATTCCATCGACAGAGATAAAATTCTCCAGAAGCCTCAATTGGTTCTTGAAACTCAAATCTGCGAAGGTTCGATGTCGCGGTAATTCTTGCCGCTTTCCACGCAGGCCAGTGATCGATTTTCCATGTGCACGAAGTTGCTCAGGCAGAAGGCAATTAACCATGTCGAATATTTCCATATTGCTCAAGAATGCCAGAACTTTGCAAGATTGGCGGCATGTTTGTAGCACACTTTCCCATTCTGCTTTGATCTGGCGAAGCACTTGGACCTCCGTGCAAAGTCGATCTTCCTCTAGTTGATAGTTCCATTTACTTTGTTGAAAAAGTGGATGACCCAGTGAATTGAGTTCACGGAAGCACTGGACAAGCTCCAAGGCATAGTCGAGCTTCCTTGAGAACCTTCTGGAAGTCTCAGCAATGGGTCGAACGTTGCTGTGTTTACCTTGACACACGTCATCACAACTCAGGTACCGGAGATTTACTTGAAACTCATGAAGAGTAGTGTTGCTGATATGTGCTTGTAATCCAAGTTTTCCATCGTGACCAATACCATCTACTTGCTCCACTATTTCATAGGTTAAGCACTTAGTAGCGTCTCTCTGAAGATAAACGAAAAGCTCTGCTCCAGCATTGAGCTTCTGAACCTTTTTTTCAAAAGACTCCATCATGCCTTCTGTTGCTGTGCCGAATAGAGTAGCGACCCGCTCAAAGTCTGCATTGTAGTTAATGAGGTGACCAGCATTCACCTGAGATGTTGACATTTCCTCCAAAACTTTCTTTAATGAAGTACCCTTCATCTCTTTGTCATGCCACGGTGTTAGCATTGGAGAAAGGGCACGGTGGGCATCCAATGTGGCTTGTATGATTCCAGTGTCAGCAGGAGCATCTATCTGTCTGTTCAATATCTCGTATTTCTCCAAAAAGTCACGCTGTCCCAACGGTGAGAAGAAATCCTCGTGGCGGAAGTAGTCAATGATCTTGCTACAATTTCCCTGGCTGATCTCTTTGAATAAATCAAAGTGACATTTGTCAAGCTGGGATAGCAGCTCAACTAGATCCTTGTGAGTGCTTGCCAGGTCTTTGATGCTCGAGTCTTCGTTAATGTTGTATCGGATGTTCTGAAGGTAGTCAAAGTCGCTGTCTCCTTCATGAATCACTCTGCCATCAGTATCATCCTGAATAGAATTGATGGCATGAACAATGTCGGCTTCTTTCTCTGAAGATATCCAGTTGAGTATATCAAGGGTCTGCTCAATGTCAATGTCTGACATGTGCTGCTGGTAGGACTGAAAGTTGGTAAGAATACCAAGTTCTGTTGAAGTGGAGGTCAACATACTTGAAAACGGTTGGAATTCTCCATACGGAATAGTTCCTCGCAGGATACTCTGAAAGAAACGGTGAGCCTTCTGTATCTCTGTGCGTATTACACGAGGCCATTCCATCCCAACAGGAAAAGGTCCGTGAACCCTTCTGTCGGTCTGCTTCTGGAACAAAGAGCTGGATGAGAAGTGCAGAATGAATTTGAACACTGTGACTGGACAGTCGGATGAGATTTCCACATCAAGGTGTTCAGTGATCTTATGCGTTATTGCTAGTCTAAGACCTTCCAGCTCTCTTAGAGTAGGTTTGGGGCTTCCAAGTACCTTGTCGACTTCAGAAAGAAGTGAACCAGAGGGTGGCACACTGTGGTTGTGAAGCCAGGCCAGAACAGGTCTAGTTGTCTGAAGATATTCCGTGACATCGTCAAAGCCACGTAGGTCGCCAACTGTATCAAGGCCCAGTTTTTCAAAAAGATACTGTAAGTTGCTCCAGGCTCTTTCGTACACTGTATGCCCATCCTTTGTGAACTCCAAGCGTTGGATAGATCGGTTGAGGCCTGAGATTGTTTCAAGCGTTGACGAAATTACAGGAACGAGCCCATGAAACCAGGTGCAATCCTCTTTCAATCTCAGTGCAGTGTGGCCAGCAAGAATCATGCCAGAAAGAGTGGGATGAAGGTGAAACGGAGTAAGCACATTTTCGTTCTGGAATGCGCTGAGGATTGCTTCAAACACCATGGATTCAATAACTGGTTTGGAATTTCTATCGGGGCTGCTTATGCTTGAACATAAAGTTTCTGCATTGCTGATCCTGCTGCTCCCAGTACCTTGAAGCATCTTGATTGTCTGGGTTTGAATGCGTTGGCAATAGGCTCTCCAGAAAATGCCGGCACCGGAGTTCAGACTGATGTCCTTCCCGCTTTCAGACATCTGTTGCATACATCTGATGATTTCGCTGCTCAGCTTGTCCACTCCCTGCAAGTTATACTCAGGTAATGTAAATGAACAACCAGTTGGAGCAGATTGAAGTGTGTCATCAAGCTTCATCCACATAACTGAGCACGTTGAGATAGATTTGGCCAATGGTTTACATTTCCAGTCACAACATTGACCCCAAATCATCAAAATGGCTGGAATGTTCTCAAAGACATTGTCCAGATTGTTTTTGTGATTGAAATGATGGCTAGCTGTGTAGTTGTCAAGTAAGTGTGCAACAGAATCCGCTGAGTTGTTGGTTGGTTCAAGGCACAATTTCGATTTCAACACGGAGGTAACTGCAGGATAAGCACAGCTGTACTGTGGAAATTCTCGAATCGCCGTAGACAACTCATCGAGAGGTGGATGCAAGTGTCGCGTGATACACATGTCGACAAAAGCATCACCAATCAGTGCCATGGCTCTCAACTGACTTTCCTGACTGGACTTGGGCGGACCATGACTTGAGGTGAACTTGCGCAATTCAGCATCCACGCCACGAGCAGCATTCAAGAATGTGCTGTGAACCATTTTGTCCAATATCTGTTTGGCCATTGTAGTTGTGATGAGCTTTGGAGCTAATCTCAGAATCAAAGCAAGTACGGACAGATCCTGGCTACTTCGTTCAATGAAGAAGTAAAGTAACGGAGTCATCCAAGTGCAGTCCTCGCCAGAAAAGAACGAGAGAAACAGTCTCCACGTAATTTCCATGGTCTTCTCATTCAAGCCCTTTCCAGATCTTGGACACAGTTTCTCCAAAAGTGAGAGAAGGATGGATGGCTTTAGCGCTGAGGTGATTTGCTCTGGAAATGATGTACGCATACAGTAATCCAGTGCATCCAGGAAACAGGAAATGTCCGTGTTCGGGTCAGTCAAGTGGAAAAGTCGAAAATATTTCTCCCAGCCATGCAGATCAGGTGTACTTTGTTGAAGATCAAGCCACCAGTCAATTGCAATGACCCACAGAAGCAAATGTGAGCTTCTAAGATCACATTTAGTGGCCAAATGTCGGATAACATTATCACAGAGTCTTCTTGAAGTTGCATGTTGCCATTGGATAAGCTCAGATGCGAATTCTGTTGGCGTTGATATATTTCCCAACATGTCCTCCAGAAAATGTGCTTGTGTCATTTGCTTGTAAACAACAAAATTAAACTTTGCCAGGAGGTTCAACCACTCGGCTCCAGTGGGATGTTGTATTCTTGCCAGGACACCATCAATAAATGCCAGTGATAACATTGTTCCAATTGGTGAACCACCCTGCTGGCTCAAGAATTGTGTGACAATGTGACAGAACAATTCATCGTTGAAACTGTGCATCTTGGAAGTGATTTCTGTCATTTTGGTCAACTTCATTGGAGCCTTGTTCTTGCTGACATCATCCATGTACCATGTCAGTTGGCTTGATAACTCTTTCCAACAGTAGAATCCGAAGCTCCAATTCTTCTTAGCCTGCAAAAAAGGGGAAAGCAAAAGAAAACCTTCTGTAACTCTAGAAGAATGTAAGCAGCAGCATTTGGTCGCAGAAATTCTGTGCACATTGACTACACCACCACCAAATCAACTTTCTCTGATGAGGTCTCAGAGACCGAAACAGCCCTCAGAAGGAATTATACTTCAGTGCTCCAAAGGAACCACTTGTTGTTATGGGAAGTGTGTGTGGCAGGCCAGAGGGCACAACGGCGGGGGTGGTGTTGTTGTCAATGTACGCATACTTCTGTCACTTTCATAAAAAGCACCTAAGGCTTCCTGGCCAGAACAAGGATGAACCACAAGAGTGCTGCTCCTAATTCAGTGTTGATAGAGCCCATAATGATTGCATTGCCAAAAAGTGCAACCTGTTTCAGCTTTTTATTCGACATTATCAAATTATCACCACAGCAGCAACATTCGTTTCCATAACCAAGGGATTTATTAATCATGAGTGTACTACGTCCGCCATCCCTGCATCAATATAATTGTCCCTTACTTTCAAATAGTTAATTACGACTTATTTATTGTGTACACAACGGACCTACGGCCCACGAGCAAGCAAACATTGCAGCAATGATTTACATTTATAGTAGATAGTGCAGGCGCAAGAATTGTTGTGGTGTTTACTCAGCCTTGCTCTCCGGCAAGGTTGTAGCGACTCCACTTTCGAGAACTGCCCATGATTCAATAGATTCTTGCGAACCCTTAATTCCCTCTTTTGCAGCCTGCATCACATGATTAACCCTTTGGAGTCCATGGTTCGATTTCGAACCATGGGCATTTTGTAGGCATGTGGGCGCAGTCAAACTTTCGGTTCTCGGCCAAATCCTGACCAAATTCAACAATCGAAGGGTCTAGATGGTAAAGAAAACTCTCAGCTATCGCCTCGAACAGGTCCAAAGTCTCTGAGATGAAGTTTGAGTGAGCGGCGAGCGATCAAACAGTTCGAAATTTCTGCGCAGCGTGCTGCGAGTCAGCAGTGCGTGAAAAATGGGATTTTCCCAGCTTAATGACAGGCGGCACGTGCCAGGACCGGCGCGGCGCGAAGTCACGGCAAGGTAAGCTTCTACTCGAAAAAATTTGAACAGTTCCGAGCTAGATTCAGTGAAATGGCTACAGGAGACCGATTTCGTCTTAGATCTGGAGCTGGACTCGCGTTTGGGGCACGTTGTGGCGGACAATGAATAGTTCGCTTGGCGAGTTTGGGCTCATTGTATTTCTCTCATCAAGAGCTTTCCAACAAGCCCAAGATCTTCAAAATTGGTGAAGTAGAACCAAAGTTATGTTGGAAATGGTGTGCGCATTTTCGTGACTGCCACAAATTCTGCGGAAGCAAAAAAGTTACGGACTCCAAAGGGTTAAAGCATGATGGTCGAGTTTTTTACCGGCAGACAGTGAGCGACAATGGGCACAACCCATCCTGTTGTAATTATTGTAATAGTTGCCACCAGGTGTTCCAGCTGCTGCTTGTTGTAGCTTTTCACCAAGCTTTGTGAAACACAAAAGGGTTGTGTCAATGCCGTTTCCTCCTCCCCCCACCCACCCCCGGCCCCGCCACACGACAAAGCACAGATCATCTGTTAGCTTCTCACAAGTAGTTCTCACAATAATAAACTAATTACTTGGGGCGCAGGAGGAGAAAGACGAAAAGACGAGACTGAACCAAAAAGACGGCGGGAAAAGACACGAAGAAATAAAGAACAAGCAGTAATAAAGCGAGGACAACTCGTGACGACCAATCTGGGACCAATACGTACAGAACACATGACCAAGACCAAGAAAACCAGACCACGGATGAATCACTCATCACTCTCACTCCCAGACGAAACTAGCACTGTGCATGCACGACATTCACTTGACAGTCACTCTCACACAGACGGAAGCAGATTCTCACACTCTGACAACACGTACTCTTGCATGTACCACATACTGAGTACCATACGTGTCACACATCACACCATACTCACACGTACGGTCAACGACCTCGAAGACCACCTCCCAATCGGCTCCAACCTCGCCTCATTCGCCAATGATACAACCCTATACGCCAAAATCTCAACTCTCGCTGCTGTTCCTGACAACTCTAGAATATATTCCAGGCTGCTGTTGACCTCGTATCCAGCTGGGGCTCGGATTGGAAATTGCAGTTCGAGCCAGCCAAATCCCAGGCCCTTACAAGCTCTCACCATCGCCGTGACTGGCTAATCCCCCCCCCCCCCCCATTGTCTTCAATTGAACTCCTGTTGAGGAGCAGCCCTCCATCAAAGTACTTGGTGTCACATTCGACCAACAGCAAAAATTCATCCAGCATATCAGAACCGTTGTAGTCCGAGCAACGCAGAGACTTGGAGCCTTGCGCAAGGCATTTCACTTGCTGGCTATTCTTGCCTGACTTCGAGCCTACAAAGCCTTTGTCCGGCCTGTTATGGAGTATTGCTCAATCGTCTGGATGGGGGCAGCTCCTTTCCACTTGAATCGGCTGGACTGGGTGCAGGAGTGAGCTGTCAAGGCAATACATCCGCTATGCTGGCTTCCTAGCCTCAATTCACTGCAAACACCATGCACAAGAGTGAACTGTTCTCTATGGAGATCGTAGTTATTGATGGTCCCGGATCTACCAACCTGTTGGGTCGCAGAAACTGTCTACGACTTCGCCTGATCCAGCGCTTAGATGCAGCAGAATCATGTGCCAGCAACTCAACATAGTCCATCGGTTGTATAGTTGGGCCTCTCGCTGACTGTTGTGAACCCTCTGGTTCTCTAAAGTGTCAGGAACGAACGACCCCACACGGCACGAAGACAACTATTTATTCTCAACAGTATATTTCACTTCCATCGACTAATAACAATGAACAATGAATGGATGAATGAATGTATGAATACCACTAAAACCACCAGGTAGTTATAGCGGGAAAATGACAGCGTATATGAGAAAAGCATACACATACAACATACAACTACAGCGCACACAGCAAACCGCACATAGCGCATGTAGCGTATACTACGTTGTAAACATTAGCGGTACGGCGGAGTCGGGATACAACTGCATTGGAACGAACACAATGCCACAAGCGAGAAGGCATTTCACTCTCGAGAACTTGTGGTTTCACAACATTCTCCCCACCAAAGGGCTTCTCACCGCCGTACAACTCATAAGTCAAAAGAGATCGGGGCTCTGACTACACGCCCAGAACGAGTCATTCGCTGCTGTGGCGGTGGCCAAGGTGGAATATTACGAGTGCTCACCATTTCTGCCAACTGAGCAATGGTCTGCGGGCTTGCGCACTTCAGATGAAGCTCTAACGTTGGCTTCACGAGAGCACATACCGGAATGACTGCGGAGCTACCCAGGATCGTGATGGCGAACTTGTCCATCCGCTGTTGGGTTGATTCCGCACCGAACGGCTTCACCTCAACATTCTCAACACCAAGCTTGCCGATCTGGGCTATCACACACAACACAGTCACTGGGCCACTGCCTCGTGGGGCGGACGCTGGACCAGATAACCTGCATTCGATCTCCGTGTTCCACACAGTCTCGCCGCTTACTTCTTCCGTGCTAGCCAGTATCGCCCTTCTCATTTTCTCAGCTTCTACGCCTTGCGCTTTTAAGTCTTGCGCTTCTATGTCTTGCGCCTCTACGTCTTGCGCCTCTACGTCTTGCGCCTCTACGTCTTGCGCCTCTGCGTCTTGCGCCTCTATGTCTTGCGCCTCTACGTCGTTCGACCGAGACTCCTGCTGCTTCTGAGCGTCTCCGACCGATGTCGCCATGCACTGCACCGACCCAGTGGGCCTTGGATCTGATCCTCCTACTGGCTTCGAATACTCCTCTGACCGCTGCTTGTCTGTAAGCAAAGTCTTCCGCGCCTTGTCCGGCGTCCTTTCGCGTGAGGCAAGCAAATCTCGCTTTGCTCCCTCATATTTACTGCTGGCGATGCGCTCGTTCATCTTCTTGAGCTTTTCGTCAAACTCTGAGCGGAGCGCACCCTCTTGCCGTCTAGCACTGCGCTCTTCAAACTCCTCGCTCTGTCAGAGCCTCTTCTCCACGTATTCTCTCAACCTATCGCCTTTAAATCCATACGGAATTCCGCTAGCGATAAAGCTGGCTTCAATGATGCATAGTTCCTGTGCCATGCTCGCTTCGTATCCTGGCGTGGTCGCCAAATGTTGTGAACCCTCTGGTTCTCTAAAGTGTCAGGAACGAACGACCCCACACGGCACGAGGACAACTATTTATTCTCAACAGTATATTTCACTTCCATCGACTAATAACAATGAACAATGAATGGATGAATGAATGTATGAATACCACTTAAACCACCAGGTAGTTATAGCAGGAAAATTACAGCGTATATGAGAAAAACATACACATACAACATACAACTACAGCGCACACAGCAAACCACACATAGCGCATGTAGCGTATACTACGTTGTAAACATTAGCGGTACAGCGGAGTCGGGATACAACTGCATTGGAACGAACACAATGCCACAAGCGAGAAGGCCTTTCACTCTCGAGAACTTGTGGTTTCACAACACTGACATTAAGCTCATTGAGGATGACACGCCGCACCACTGTGGTGTTTCCTGCCGCGTGCCTCTGCCTCTACAGGACAAGGTCACAGAAGAGCTCGCGTGTATGGAGGAAATGGGCATCATCATCCGGGAAACGGGTCCCTCTGACTGGTGCTCTCCTATGGTGCCGGTGCGTAAACCTAATGGTCGCGTACGGTTCTGAGTCGACCTGAAAAGGCTTAACGGCAAAGTGAAGCGCGAGCACTTCCCTCTTCCGACAGTTGAGGACACACTGGCTAGGCTCGCCGGCTCCACTGTCTTCTTTACTCTGAATACCAACAATGGCCTCTGCCAAGTGCCTCTCACAGAGTCCGCATCCAAACTGACTACCTTCATCACGCCCGTGGGTCGGTTCCGATTCCTCCGGATGCCATTCGGTATAACCTCTACACCGGAGATCTTCCAGCGACGACTGCAATATTTCCTGTCCCACGTCAAAGGTTCGGAGGTATTCACGGACGATGTTCTGGTCCACGCCGCTAACGAAGCTGAACACGACCACCAGCTGGACACAACGTGCAAGGGCTCACCGATGCCGGCATCACTCTGAACAATGACACATCCCACCTCAAGCAGTCATCGGTCAAGCACCTGGGACACATCGTCAGCGGGTCTGGTGTGAAACCCGACACCAGCAAAGTCTCTGCCATTGAAGACCTCAAGGAGCTTACGAATGTTCCCGAGCTCCACCGTTCCTCGTCTCTTTACCTACGTCGCCAGATTTATCCCTGAATTGGCTACGATCTCAGCGCTCCTCCGTCAGCTCCTGCTGCACACTGACACCGATTGGTCCAGGGACTCACCGCAGCAGGACGCACTCACACCCGTCGAACGAGGAGCACAGATGTTCCCCTGCTTCTTTTCCCGAGGATCATATCTGCCGCTGCCACACACAGCCTTTCATATCAATGTCCCGCTCTCTGAAATAAGTTGCCTGCATCTTTACGATCACTGAAGAAACCAGGTCAATTCCGGACCGCCCTCTTACCCCACCTGAAAATTCACTGACTTACATTGCTCACTGATCAAATAATTATGCAATCTTTCCTATTTTTTTTTCTTTTAATCTTTTCCTTACATTTGTGTACCTGTAACTTTAGTCGATCTCATGTGATAAGGCAACACTGCCTGTTTGTTATTCGACGTTAAATAAACCAATCCAATTCCGTCGGCTGAAAGAGCTCGTCGTTTCAGCCTCATGCTTAGTGCACTACGACCCCAAGCGTCCCATCATGGTCAGTACAGATGCCAGCAGCTACGACATTGGTGGTGATCTTCTGCAGAAGCACGATGGTGGCTGGTGCCCAGTGGCCCACGCCTCTTGTGCTCTGACCAAGACGGAACAAGGCTATGTGCAGATTGAAAAAGAATGCCTCGCAGCTGAGTGGACGTGCAAGAGCCTGGGCCAGTACCTCTTCTGCACTCCACGGTTCACCTTGCAGACGGATCACACACCGCTAGTGCCACTGATTAACACCAGAGACCTGGACAAGGTTTCCTGCTAACGCATGCTTGTCCGCTTCCTCCGGTTCGAAGTCCATGCTGTACATGTTCCAGGCAAGGATCTGGTTGTGGCCAACACACTTTCACGAGCTCAAGAATCGGCATCAGTCAACAATGTTCTGCTAGATGATATCAGCATGCTTTTGTCCACTACTGCCGAGGATCTCACGAGCCCATCCGTTCTCGTCAACTTGGCCAAAGCTACATCAGAAGATCCGGTGCTGTCCAGTGTTATGCGCTACATCACCAATGGCTGGCCAGCTATCCATTCCCGATGACATCAAGCCGTTCCACCTTGAGCGAGGCCAATTGTCCGACATGCAAGGTGTCCTGTGCCACGGCTTTCGCCTGGTTGTTCCATCCATGCTACAGCCTGAGATCCTCCAGAAGCTGCACAACGGTCACCAAGGTACCTCAAAGAGCCCAGAACGCCCATGGCAGCGGATCTCTGCGATGTTGATGGCCACCAGTATGTGATCACCGTCGACAAGAGTACATAAACCAGAGTGTGCACCTGTGCATATCAGATCTGAAACAGCGCAGTTTGTGCACTACGTCACCCTGATGGGGTCATCCAAGCAGCGACTTGCATACAGCTCAAATTTTCGCGTTTCACAGTCGGAAACCAGCCGAGTGTACAGGATTTTAAACGTCCTGTTTTAGGATTTCGGTGTTTTGTGTTACTGTGTACGCTGCGTACATCCGCTGGCAAGTAAATTCACCAGGCTATCCGTATCAAAAAACCGAAATCAGGACAAACTCAATGACCTGCCCCACCGCGACTGGTTACGCAACTTTTCACCGTACCTGTGGCTTACCATGCCGTCAGAAATGACGTACTGCACGGATTACGCTCCCACAGGAACCATCCCGAGTTGCATACTCTGGTTTTTGTTCTCTTGCCGTCGACTATTTCTCGTCATACATTGATGTCGCTCGCCTCTCATCTACTACGTTTCAAGCCGTCATTACTCACCTAAAGAGTGCGTTTGCTGTCCATGGCTATCCGGACATCTTCGTCAGTGATAACTGCCTGCAGTTTGCTTTCGACGCCTTTGCCCAAATCATGATGTCCTGCAGCGTCACGCATCGGACAAGCAGCCCGAAGCATCCACAGAGCAACCGCGAAGCACAACTCACTGTGCAGACTGCCAAGCGTCTCATCAGTGCACCGGGTGATCTACACCAGTCCCTCCTAGCGTTTCGCTCGACACCCGTGGCCAATGGCTATTCCCCTGCCGAACTCTTGTACGGCCACAGGCTCCGCACCAATCTTCAGTGCCCACCTGATCTCCTGCAACCATCCTGGCCAGACATCACCACCCTCCGGGCCAAGGAGCAGGAGACTTTGCATCGCCAGGAAGATCACTTCGATCAATGGTACTGTCGCAGACCGATACATTCTCTGTTTCGAGTTGTTTGCATGCGTATGTTGTGAGTGGATCGCGATAGATTGAGACGCTCGAATTATTGCAAGAGTTTTAGAGTTTCTTACCTGAGATGTATTTTCGCTGCGATTGAAGTTCTGCTGCAGAAGTGTTAGGATTATTTACCACTACCTGACAGGGTTTGCTGTCACCCAGCATCGGGTGCTAACACCCTCTGACAGGTGTAACCCTTCAGCTTCATTCTTTTCTTCTTTCTTTCACAACCGTATTTTGAATATTTCTGTTTGTTTGATTTTGTTCTGCACCTGGTCGTTGCTTGCAGACCAGTCGCCATATTTTCTATAGTTACGCTGACTGTGCAGTCGCGTACTCATGACGTAGTAGTGTAGTGTGTCTTCTAGAAGCCGTGTCAGATTTGTTCTCTTGACCCTTTCGCTTTCTTTGACATCACGTATCCATCTCTAGAAGCCGTGTCAGATTTGTACTCTTGACCCTTTCGCTTTCTTTGACATCACGTATCCATATCTGTTCCACGGGAGCTTTTGTGAACCCGCGCGGTCGCGCGCATGGTTCCCCCACATCTTGCTGTGTTGTACGATAATTTGGTACTACGTTATCTTCTTTATCCTTTTCTGGACATCTTGGTCCTTTTCGGGCCTTCTTGTTCAGGTTTTCTTGTCGTTTGTCTTTTGTCTCTTTGTCTTTCAATCGAGTGATTGTTGGAACCAGGTTGCCTACGATGTCTACTACGACCCTTGTGTGAAGTATTATTGAAGAGCCTTGTTGGCCACAGGTACGCAACCAAGTTGCTCTTCCCTCTGCCACTGGGAGTGAAAGTGTGGGTGGACAACAAGCGCGAGAGTACAGTGGTTGAGCAACTCACCGATTGCTCCTACAACATTGCCACCTCATCCGGTCTTCTGCGCCGAAACCGTCTTGCAGGGAAGTTACTCCACCCAGTGGCTCCTCCCGGACCGGTGCCAACAGTACCACTGGCCGCGCTAGTCCCGCAACAACAACCTGTGCCTACACCGCAGCCAACTGACCGTGCTCGCCATAACATCCAGCCACCGCAGAGACTGATCACTACCATGTAACTCTCTCTTTCTCTCTCTCTCTCTCTCTCTCTCTCTCTCTCTCTCTCTCTCTCCCGATCATTGACTAGTTCTGTTCTCTGTGATTGGTGTTGTACACCCTGTACATGTCTCTGTCTTGCCTTTGCTCCATTACAGTTTTTTCCAGCTGTTATGTTTCTATTCCTCTTCATCCTTTTTTTCTGTTCCCCTCGGTCCCTTCGATTTTTTTCAAAAAGGGGGAGATGTCCTATCCTGTATCAAGTTATTCTTTCATCCATTCACGGCATACTAGTAGCCCTTCCCCTCACACTACCCCGTGCTAGGCACGATACCATACATTGATATTGTTGAACATTGTTGAAATGGAGTGGCAACTTAGTGACACGAAGGAAGTACATAATATGTATCGATTGTTATCGATCTTCCAGGTCCAGAGGGTTAAACGGTGGGAAATACTGGCGAGCAAACATATTCTCTTCTTCAGTACTGCACAGTTAAAACTCATTTGCTTTCAATTTTAACCGCAATCTGTCAGTTACCATCTATTTCCAGCCAGGAAAAGCAGGTTGCTTCTGCTCACCAGCATTACCCACTTTCCACATACGAACCCGGACGACACCTCACCACTCTTATAAATTCAAAAAGAGTCAATGTCTGTGGAATGGCAATAAAATTTAATATGATCAATTGTGCACTCATAAGTTATAACAACATCAAAAAATCAAGAGTTAAAAGTTCCATAACGTTTTCTCGTGACTTTCATCAGTGACTTTCTTTGGTGTTGTTATGAGTGCACTCATCTTATTTATTGCCATGTTACGACTATTGTCTGTGGAATGACCAAATTATCAGTGGGCATGGTCAAGTTTATGATTTCGCTCAAAGTTGGCAACAAAACCAACTATGTCTCCAAGAAAGGAGCCAACATTGAGCAAATCAGAAATATGGACAGGCCCGATGACATGTGGTCGTTACAGACATTGCTCTTGAACAACTTGCAGGCAAAATTCTTACTTCGCGTGCAAAGTGAGGTACAGGCCTATCTGATCCATGTTTAGGTTCATGGGATTTATAATCTGATCCTGTGCACAAAGAATAGAAGCCAAACATATCGTCCATGTCAGCATTTGAAAAAGTATTACAACTGCTCAACAAATGAAGAAAGTAGCGATAAAACAGAAACTTAAAATGTGCACATAGAAAGAATTTGAACCCGAGGAGGGAAAGAGACTGCTTACTCAATGGACGAATTTCTGACTTGGAGTGCGAGCAAAATGTCTTTCTCAGAAATCCTTTCATTGAGAAAGCAGTCTCTTTCTCTTCCTTTCAAATTTTACTTGTTTGCTTTCTTTCACTTTGCTCTCAAAAACATGTTAGCATGTCCCATGCCCAAGAAGAGGCAACAACCGACAGAGAGAAACAGAAAGTGCTGGTGGCATCACGGGATAACCGGGTGAAGGAGCTGGCAGGGATAACCATGGAGGGCGGCTGTTACAAAACCGCAAGTTCTCAAGTGTGAGAGGCCTTCTCGCTTATGACATTGTATTCGTTTCAATGTTGTATCTCGACTCCGCCGTACCGCTGATGTTTACTGCATGGTATACGCGATATGTGCTAGGTGCGATTTACTGTATACTATCGCACTAGCCAGTGGCTAGAGCGTGTTAGCGCCGCATAAACACCTGCCAGCTGGCAGCTTGATTACACTAATCAATGACGCAGATTCACGGCGCGAATCTACAGCGCAGCTCCGAAATCGCGCCAAGAGAGGTTGCAGCTCACACCTCGTATTCCTTCTGCTCCAAACTTTTCCCACATGCTTTACTTTGAGTGTTGCCTTTGTGAAAGTTGAGTTCGCTGCTGTTGCCTGGCTTTCACAGTTTTGCTCCTAGCTTATTCTTCGTAGCGCGACCTAGACCCATCTGGCACCAAATCGGTCCTGATAAACCGCCACGAGGGAGCCGTAGACGAACGTGAGGACTCCGTTCCTGCTACTGCGGCTTCTGCGGCTTCTGTTGCTTTGACGGTGGACCGGGATAATTCGGATCATGACACCTTTCAGCAGGAACTGCGGCGTCTGGTGCGCGAAGAAGTATCAGCTGCAATCGGCACAGCATTGTCGGGAGCACCAGAGGCGGCCTCTCAAACCACGGCAACTGTCACCCTGTCCAATCCTGCTCCTTCTATCCCCGGGTTGAGCTCGATTGCGCCTGCGCCAGTGGCTAGCAGTGCCGAAACCTCGGCAGCAGCTCACCTCTCCGTGCCCAAGTCACTGCAAGATCGCATCGTGAAAGGCGAGTTCATTGAGCTGAACTTACTGTTGCCCGAGGGGCTAAGCAATTTTGCTCTCAACCTGAATCCCGCTCGTTCGAGCTTCGTACCCCCAATCAGTCTGGGTGAAGTAAGCAGTCGCTGGAACTGGTTGAAACCAGTGACGGTCGCCAAGTCAAACGGCGGGTGCACAACATCGCAACATGGCTAGAGGCCTGGACCTTGTACACATGGGTTGTCTGTACTCACGCACCACACTGTCTCCACGAATTGTTGGCGTACCAGTCCATCATCCTCAAAGCCAACCGCCAGTATTTGCCAGCTGCTTGGCTCAGCTATGACCAGCAAATTCGGCTGTCAGCCTCACTCCAGCCAGGCAAGCGTCTTGACATTATCGACAACAATTTGTGGCAGCTATCCGTCACAGGTAAGGCCAGACCAGCATGTCCATCATGCCACACCGTGCACCCTCCATCCAGTCAGTGTCCTTTTCGTCCAAATAGAAGCCCCCAGCAGTATCAGCACGGGTCCACGCTCACCCGTTCTGAGAGCGGCCGCATCATTTGCCGTAACTTCAACTCTGGCCAATGCCAGCACAAGTCGTCCTGCCGCTTCCATCATGTCTGCAATACATGCGGCGGCAACCATTCCGGCCAACAGTGCCCCAAGGCTGGGACCAAATCCCGAACCACTTCTCAGTAAGGTCAGCAACTCCAATAGTTTGCCTTCAGCCATTACTCTCCACGCTTCCACATTCTGCTCACCTTTGTATGTTACCCGCTTTTCTTCCTTGCTATCTACCCACCCAGACCCACAGTTTTCACGATATGTTCTGCGTGGCTTGCATCATGGCTTCGATATTGGCTTTTCAGGTGATCGTACTGTTAACGTTAATTCTCCTAATCTCCCTTCCGCTGCTAAACACGCTCAGTTTATATCAGACCAGTTAGCTGCCTCCTGTAGTCGAAGGGAAACTGCTGGCCCCTTCACTTCGACCCCCTTTTTCGTTTATGCATTGCTCGGGCGTCGGTGCAGTGCCAAAGAAAACCGCAAGATGCGCATGATCCACCACCTGTCTAGTCCACTCGGGACGAGTGTCAATGACGGCATACCTACTGATATATTCTCGCTGAATATGTTACTATTGATGATGCCATCAATATGATTATGTCTTTACCCCTCCAGTTTACCTGTCAAAACTGGATGCCAAGAGCGCCTTCAGGCAGATCCCCCCCCCCCCCCCACGGGTCAAAGAAGCGTTGGCGAGATACGATTGTCGGTGATCTGCGCTCACTGGATATTCCGGAGTCCGAGTGGTATCGGTTCGCGCAAGATCGCCCGGAATGGCGCAGGCGGGTCCATCAACATCGTCTTCCTCCCCCGGCACCAAAGGACTTTCACTGCGCATGCGGCAGAGCGTTTAGGAGAAGTGTCGATTTGAAGCGTCACATCAAGTACTGCCCAACTCAGTAGCCTATCATCTCCACTGGAGATGGGGCGTCAAAGGTCAAGTATGTGCATCGAAGATTTCCCGCTGCTTGGTATTTTTTGGCAAGGCCATTACTATTACAAACAAGTGCTCTCTTTTGGTTTGCGCTCTAGTCCCTTCATTTTCAACACCGTTGCTGATGCTATTGAATGGATCATAAAGCATCATTTCTCCAAAAGTGATCTTTTGCATTACTTAGATGACTTTCTGAACGCCGTTTCTAGCCTTTCTGTTGCTAACCGCCTATCTTGCTCCACACATTCATGCTCTTAGGCGTACCCCGGCCCCAGACAAGATGGAAGGCCGTGCTCAGTGTCTTACATTTCTTGGAATCGAGTTGTACTGCGTTTCCAAGCGAGTCAGGCTCCCATCCGACAAACTGACTAAGCTCAGATCTCTGCTTACAGCCACCCTCCAGCGTTACTCTACTTCTCAGTGCAGCCTCGAGTTCCTTTTGGGGAAGCTCTCCTTTGCAGCACAGGTGGTCGTCCCAGGGCGCACATTTCTTCGACGGCTCTGGTCGGTGTACACCAGGTATTAAGAGCCCCGCTACAAGATAACACTGGACTCTGATGCTATGAAAGATATCAGGCGGTGGCAGCACCTGCTGCAACACTGGAACGGTAAATCATTCTTCTTGCACCTCAACTGGACTCCATTGCCAGATCTACAACTCTACACAGACGCAAGTGGTTCACGTGGCTGGGGAGCCTACAACAACGGCTGGAGGATCAACGGCGCTTGGACCCGAGAAGAAGTGGAGAGAGACATCACTTGGAAGGAGCTGTATGCCCTGCTAGTCGCTTGCGCTACTTGGGACCATTCCTGGGCAAAGCTCTGTATCCGTATTCACTGTGACAATGCTGTAGTTGTGGACTGTTTAAAGTCGGGCAGTAGCAAATCAGCCCCAGTGATGCAACTACTCCGCGGACTTTCTTTGTCTGCGCCAAACGTAACGTTACCATTTCAGCCATCCATATTGCAGGGAACAAGATTGCTGATTCTCTGTCACGCTTCTCTATGCAGGCATTTCGGTGGCTTGCTCCCAGCGCCAAGAACCTGCCGGGCGAAGTGATCTGGCCCCAGTACATAGGGAAGTAAGCTGCTATGCTGCATGCGCCATTGCCCGGAACACACGGTGCACCTATTCGACCGGTGAGAGCAGATATAGTGCTTACTGCCAGTTGTGCTTCTGGAAACCCTTCCCAGCTACTGACTATCAGCTAAATTGTTTTGCCGCATTCCTCGCTCGCTTAGTAAGACCATGTACTATCTCTGTCTACCTCAGTGCAGTGTGCAACGCCCAAATTGAACAAGGCTTGGGGGATCCGCTGGAAGATGCCTGGCTGCTGAAATGAGTAGTAAAGGGCATTGGACGGTGCCATGGCACAGCTGTTATCACACCTCGCCTTCCTATCACCATGCCTGTGCTCCGCAAAATAGTGGATGCGTGCCAGTTGATGGAACTACTGAACCGACATGACCGTCTGCTGTACCAAGCATGTATGCTGCTTGCATTTTACGGCTTCCTTCGCTGTTCTGAGTTTACAGGGGAGATTCGGAGGACTGATGCTCGACTCGCAGACGGCAACATGCAGCTGTTTCTGCCAAAGTCAAAAACAGATCCACTGGGCAGTGGGGGCACATTGTTCGTTGGCCGAGCCACGCAACCGCACTGCCTCGTGGCAGCGATGACAGCATACCTGCTCAATACCCGCCATCATCCATCCACTGGGCCACTGTGCTCTCAGACGGACAAAAGCTTACTCGTGCGGCATTTACCACCACTGCACGTTCATTGCTGGCAGCATCTGGTGTGCCAAATCTGCACCTGTATTCCGGGCACTCATTCTGCATTGGTGCTGCTACGACAGCCGCAATGGCCGGTGTGCCCGACTCTCTGATCCCAGCCGCTGGACGCTGGAAGAGTGATGTATGTTTGCGCTACATGGGTATGCCAGCATCCCTTAAGTACAGTGTGTCGTCACAGCTTGCAAAGGTTAGCCATTTGGTAAATTTTGGCCTAGCAATTCTGAATATTTACGTGGTGTGCTGGATTCGCAGATGTCCGCTCACAACTGATTGCCCTGTTTGCGTGCTTGCGACTCAGTTGAGTCATTGCCTGTTCGCGACTCAGCAGAGTCTTTTCGCGTTGCTACTCATTTGCCGAGTCATGTGACATTGCACCAGTTGCTCGAATCCAGCACTCCATCTATCCAATTTAACTCACCCACATTATTCTGTGTGTGCTTGTTCATGCGTGTGGGTCCGCATGCATGCGCATGTACATGTCCGGCTGTGTGAAGCACAGGCTAAACTGTTATATACATGTATGTGTATGCTTTTTTCATATACGCTGTTTGCATGCTATAAATAGTTGGCGGTCTTAGATTTCACTTGAATAGTTTGCAGGCAACCTGCCTACACTCAAGAGAGCACTGCATTTCACACAAATCCATTAGGCCATCATTTTTTATATCTATGTTTCGCGCCAGTACAACTTCCAGAATCATATGCGAGAGGCGGAAAAAATATAAAGTTGCAAAATAATAAAAAGGCTCATCAGAGGTGTATAGCACTGTACATAGCACAATAGCTCGTGCGTGGTGTACATTCGAAAGAAAAATCGTACATCGAAGCACAAAATCTGGGTTATCAGCATGAGTAAATATTCACTTTGGACAGAGGAGGCAACCGTTGGTGCCCATGCTTCGCTGGATTATTGTACTCAGACTTCAGCAGCGGTGCAAAGAGCTCCGGAACCACACATCCTCTCAGCTTGAGGCGATCGATGAGGTCTGGTGTAAGCTCATAGAATACTGCTCGCAGATGCCGAACAAGCAACCAGTCCACACTGATGACTCGCACGATCATACACTCACTGTACATGTTCGATTTTTTTAAATTTTGTCGGAAACAAATCAAAACGTATGCGTGCGGACGACGCGAAACATAAATAGAAAAGATGATGGCCTTAGAAGTATCGTTTCAACGTTTCGGTCTTCATGACCATCATCAGGAATGATGGTGATGAAGACCGAAACGTTGAAACGATACTTCAAATGGATTTGTGTGAAATGCAGTTCTCTCTTGAGTGTAGGCGGGTTGCCTACAAACTAATCAAGTGTAATGAAGCTGCGTGAAGCGTCCTTCAAAAATTTGAAACCGTCCTAGATTTAGTCATTATATTCAATCGAAGTCACTATACTGTTGAGAAGAAATAGTTGTCCTCATGCCGTGTGGTCATTCGTTCCTGACACTTAAGAGAAATGCCTCATTTCTCGTTGGCTGACGTAGGAAAGAAACGAGAAATGTAGTTCTTTTTTGTCTTTCTTGCTGTTGCTGCTGTCTCCGCAGAGGCTGTTTGTTGTTGCTGTATGCGTGTGTATGTGGGTGTGCATGTGACTGAGGTGTGTTAGGGGTGGGAGCACGTATGGTGTGGCTGCACACAGGAGTGAGAAAGAGAGTAAAAAAGAATCAGAGGGATCACAACAGCGGCCGACCCGACATAGACAGGAACCCAGAGTGGCTCAGATCACATCACATGCATGCTTGTTTCTTTTCCCCTCTTCTGGTCTTTGGAATTTCTTCGTTTGCGCTGAGTCGAGAGTCGAGGTCGACCTTTATTCAAAAGGTGTCGTTATGTTGCGATTATGATTTACGCACGTTGTTGTATTTGGTTCTTGTCCTGTAGAGTTCAATGTCTGATGTCATAATTACCGTAAAGTCGCGGATAAAAGCCGGGCTTATAAGCATATAAGCCGCTTTCTGCATCAGGCTTTAATGCAAACCAGGCTTGTATGCAAACCATGCTTATATGCACCACTGATATTTTTGCCAGGATTGTATGCACATAGAAGCCAGGCTTCTACGCACGACACGCGTAGATCTACCACTGACTACCGGTATGGCGGCAGTTTTACTATGCACCGTACATAGCGCATGCACTCTTGACCTACCCGATCCACGCTTGCATAGAAGCCAGGCTTCTACGCGCGACAGGCTTATATGCATTTGACCCGTTTGATTTTCAGGCTTCTATCCGCGATGTGCTTGTATGGAAACCCGGCTTTTATCCGCGACTTTACGGTATGTGGCCTAGGTGTACGTGCGAATATGGTGTGATGTGTGACGCTTAAGGTATGCGGTGCATGCAAGAGCACGCGTTGTCAGAGTGTGAGGATCCGCTGTCTTCGTCTTGGTCATGTGTTCTGTACGTATTGGTCCCTGATTGGTTGTCCCGAATTGTCGTCGCTTTATCATCGCTTGTTCTTTGTTATTTCTTCGTGTCTTTCTCCCGTTGTCTTTTCGTTGAGTCCTGTTTTCGCCATTCTCCTTCTCCGCCATTACCATAATTGTGAGAAGTAGTAAGAAGCTAACAGAGCGTTGCACTGTTGTGTGGCAGAGGCCAGGGGAGAAGGTATTCTCACTTCAAAAGCATCACCCCTACTCATATCATCCATCCATCAAAATAGCAGACTACAAGAGTAAAACAATGCAAGAAGAGCCAAAGAAGTGCAGTGACTAGAATTTAACTCACGGAAATAGCCTTCGTGGACAATGTTCTCCTGTCTTCTTGTCATCAGCTTGTTGACTCTGGCAGCAGACGCAGTCATTTCCTCACCAGTACTGTCGTTGCAAATCCGATAGTCAGTGGATTTCAAATGCGGTGAATGCGGTGTGATTGTTATTATGTCTGCTCGGTAAGCAAACATGTGGCCTGTACCTTGGTACAGATTTTCATTAACCCGAAATGAAACAGGTTTAGTGATTTTCCGGCTTGGCAGGCTTCTTTCACCTGCATAGAAGGAAGACAACACAAGCTACATCAGCAAATAGTGAGCAGTTTCAAAATTGCGAACAAAAGGATGAGCTGAATCGACATATGTAACGGCTTTATTTTAACAATGTGATAACAATATGGAGAACGAAAAATGTGATGGACAATGATGAAATTACTTCGATCTAGCATTTTTGTTCTTCAGTACAACGTTTTCTTCCTGATGAGAGTTGGATGCTTCTTGAAGCTTCATTATATCCATTTATGTTGTTGGGCAGCAGCCCAACTGAAATACCACTTCTCAGAGTACATAATGCGCTGCTTGACCTCTCTAGCACTGAGTTTGAGAGTGATAGAGAGCGATCAAACGGAGCAGTGAGCCCATACAATGAGCGAGTGAAGAAGCAGCTGCTCTGATCGCACCACGCAATGAAATCAGGGGCGTAGCACCCGCTACGACTGGTACGACCATGGCTGTACCACTTTTCGAAAAGTGTGGTCCGTCCGGAACGTGCAAGACCGTAATAAAAAAATCAGGATCCATCGATGCATATGCGCATCAGACTTTGACCTTTTTCTAGACTCGTAGATCTGTTATTCATCTGAAGTCGGACTGAGTCTACTGTACTTGACTCGACTGCATGCACACTGCGCCAGAAGTGTGTGTGAAGTGTGCCAGAAGTCCCCAGAACGCAGGATTTTGTGTCTTTTTTACAACATTTTCACGGGGAGGTCCCCCGGACCCCTCCAACACGGCCTTCGGCCGCACCCACCTTCGGTCGTACCACTTCCAAAACCCCTCCTACGCCCCTGGAAATGATTCCGATTTCAAAACTTCTTGTTCAACCTGCGCAAAGCCCAGATTCGGATTCTGAAGACCATGCATTCTTTAGAAGTCTGCTGTCCGACGTAAGCCTCGCGGCTAAGGAAAGTCAACGGGACTTGCTAGCCGCTGCCGTTCAGTGGTGACACGAGTACCCATCAGAGAAAATGGAATCAGTTAGGATGTGCCTTTACTCTTCATTTTGCGGAGTTCTGGATGATGGAGGGGAAACCAGGGAGTTACGAGAGAGCTTGGAAGCTCAGGGCCCTACGCTATGCATTTTTTGCCTTGATGACCTAGGCAAAAAAAGCAAAGTAAATTTTTCTTTAACCGCAATCAGTAATACAAGCTGGATCGACATTTGTGTACACTGTATTCATGTATTGTAAAACTGTGGAGACAATGTGCAATAAAATGATGAAAAATGTGAAGAAATTGTGTAGAGAAAGAAAGGGATTCAAACAAGTTTTCGTACAACACTCATCAGGAATCGTCGTTGTACTAAAGGACACTGAAACAAAAATTGAACTATTATAGAAAATCTAAGTTAGAGAAATAACACTAAGAGCAACAACAGTGAAATTTACAAGTGTGAATTTTAACAATCAAAGCGAGAAATGAACAAAGGAGAAAGGAAGGAAAGACAACGTGATAACACATAACAGCAGTACATTAAACCTAGAACATTAACGGCCAAGCTTGGCCGCACTAAACACGACACGTTACTTGAACAATTTCAACCCAATTATACTATCTTTCTGTACACACAAATTAGGCTTGTACAGACGCTGATAGATAGCTTCCAACACTTTTAACTGTAGTCCATAACCATGACGACCACGGCACAATACAGTGAACGAAGAGTCGGAATACGCACCGCAACAATCAGGACTAGCCAGCAGATGATTGTACACTGAAGACTTGCTACCACGAAACCTACGCACAACACTAACACTCTCACCGGCACTCTCACCACCACTCCCATCACCGCTCTCCGACTCACTGCTCCCTCCGCCGTCCGTTCCATCCTCCGCTTCCTCTGTACTCTCTCTGTCTCGTCCATACCGCCTGACCGGGTCCATTGAACTCAACTCGGCCGTCCCCCTGCTATCACGTCCCTCCTTTCGCCCTCGTCCGCTGAGTGCGTAGCTTCTGTTGTAGTTGGCTGTTGATCGTCTTGGTCTTTCAATTATGGGCTTGGATGGTGGATTAGTTGTAGTTGCTGTAGATTGCGTTGTTGGTGTTGGCGTGGGAGTTACTGATATGCAAGGTGGGTCTTTTTGAGTCGGCATTTGTAGTGTTAATGCAGCTGTCAGTGTTGCTCGCGGTCTGCCACTGGCAAGCTCCACCGCCGCAAGAACCGATGGCGGAGGATCAGGAGGAGGCAGTGGGACCGGGACCGCAAGCGGCACCGCCCCAGCCAAAGCCGCCGGGGGCACTGACGAGGGAACCACCGACGGCCGGAGCAAAGGCGGCGACACAAGCCGACCCGATGAGCCACCACGCCCATTCTCCTCCACCACCGCCACCAACGACGGCGGAGCAAGCACAGTCCGAGAGCCAGGATCCGCGGGTTGTGTAGGCAACGGCTGTGTGGTTAATGGTTGTTTTCTAGGTCGCCCTCGCTTCGGTCTTTGTTGTTGTGCGCAAGGTGGAAGTATGTGACGTGGTGTGTGTTGTTTGATGCGTGCGTTCAGGTGCTGAACAGTCCTACCAACATACCGACTAGCGCATTGTCGGCATTCAAAGTTGTAAATAAGATGACTAAGGTGAAGGGCTGGTAGGACATCCTTCCGCACCGTAAACGCACGCATCGTCGTAAAATCTGACACAAAGTGTACTGCATAGTATTGTAGCATGGCTACTTTATGACACGTAATTTGTATACGCATAAATAGTACACCGTAGGAATGCATGGATAGGCTGTGCGCATACTCGCACTGCCTTGTCTTCTTCTTCTCCTTGTGTGAGACAATGAACGAATATTGATAACTACTTACGTAACAACAAGTATGTGCAGAGAGTGCTGAGACTGAGAGTATACGAGTTACAATGGTGGCAGCGGAAAAATAGTCGTCGGTTTTGTCCTCAGCTGGGAAGACGCCTCCGCAGGAGAGACAAGTTGCAGAGTCGACAAGTTCCAGAGAGTCTGAGACCAGTTCCAGCTACTCGGGAGACCAGCCCACAGACTAAGTTCTAATTTACTAGTATTGGTCATTCTATCCTTCGTCTCGTTTTCCATTCTTTACTTCTTGACTGATCGTTCGCTGTGCATGAGTAACAGTTTTGTTTGGTGTAAAAAGGGCTAGAATTTTCACTACAATTATTTTTGCACATAGTTCTACGTGGACGTGGGTGTGCGTGCATACTTACAGCTGCCCTGGCCTTGGTCTTGTACTTGTTGTAGTACTACTGTACTAGATTGTGCATGCATGCACCTGCATATGACGTAACTCCATATGTACAATGCAGTACTTACTACTTGTGTAGCTAGCTAGCTAGACCTATACGCACTACGTAGCTTGACACATCACGGATTCACGGTACGGGCCGCGCCGGCGGGTAGGCCGCGAGTGACATTTGCATTGCAGGGTTTTTTTTGTAGAATTTTTTTTAAATTTTAAATTTTGTTTAAATTTTGAACTTGATCTCGAACGCAAGATGGGCAAGTCGAAAAAGCAGACACGGTCACCTAGTCCATTGTCATTCGAGATGTATGACAAGCCTGCCAGTGCCTCAGCCTTACCGAGACCAATCCTGTTACCCGAAGTATTTGGTCGTGCTGGAAATGAAGATTTTTCGGCCTACCTCAAACATTTTAACGATGCATGCCACCTGAACGGGTACAGTGAGGAACAAAAACTATTGTTATTACCCACAAGACTCGTAGGCACGTCCCATGAACTGCTGGAGACCATTCTCCTATCTGATGCAGACATTTCGTTTCATGACACCGTTGAAGCGCTCCGCAGTCGCCTGGAGCCACCACAGCAGGCCCAAATGCACGAAGCAGCTTTACGCCAGCGCCTGAAACTCGCCCATGAAACGCAGTATGCATATGCCATGGAGCTCCGCCGCCTTGCTGCCAAAGCATATCCAGGCCAACAGGGCCCGTTACTAGAATCGATGCTGCTGCAAATTTTCATCGATGGTCAGCCAACAAAAGATATGCGCCTGGCTCTGTCGTCGCCACGACCAGCAAGCATTGAACTGGCGGTCCAAAAAGCAATTGAGGTCTCGGCAATCTACGCCAGGGAACAGAGCCGGATGCCTGTAGAGTCTCACTTCGCTCAGGCTGTACATGTAACTGGTGACTACGATGGCTCGGCCTGCGCCGCGTTGCCGTTCCGCAGCCAGCCACCTGGCCCATCACCAGCTGTACACCGTGCTTCTGTTGCCAAGGCAAGTGCGTATGACGCTGGAGAGCGTGATCGACTGGCCCAAGTGCTTGAGAAGTTTGATTCAAGAATGTCAGATCTTGAAAAGAGACTCGGTCGTTTAGAAATAATTGTCGCTCCGCAAACACCAGTCACTGCAGGAGCAAGTCCCGATGGCCAGTCTCGTGTCAGTGGACGTGGTCGTGGACGGGGACGGGCGTATGGTCGTGGTGGTCGCGATGAACCGCCGATTTGTTTTGGGTGTGGACAACCTGGCCACTTTGCTGTTGATTGCCCACACAACCCTTGGCGCTCGGGAAACTGAGTACGACTGGTGGTGTGGGACAACTACCAGTCGTCCACGAGGAGCCATCAGATGAGGCGCGAATCGAAGCTGTATCATCTGTCGTCCCTACCCTAGACCTCAATGTTGAAGGCAAGAGCGTAACTGCACTAATTGATTCTGGTTCATGTGTTTCTTTGTTGCATGAACAAACATTATTGTCCACGTATGGTGATGTGCCTTTGCAAGCTGCCCCCCGTTTGTGTGCGGTGAATGGTGAGGGACTTCGGGTTCTGGGTGCTGTAGATATCGAATGCTGCATTGGAGGGTGCTCATTTTTGCATGCATTTGTAGTGTCCCCTGATATCCGCCGTGATATGATCTTGGGATCTGATTTCTTGTTTGACCATGGAGCATTACTGAACATTGCTCAAGGCACCTTAACTTTTAAAGACCTGTCAGTCCCGTTAGGAGTGAAAGCTACCAGTTTTGGTCCATCGGAACCTAGTACGGCCGTTGCGGAGGACCCGGCGCC